GCTATGGATAACTTCACGATCTTTACTGCTACTCAAATAATTCTGTTCGTCTAGTGCAAACTCCACAAAACAACTTTATTCACAATTCGTCGGAAACATAAAATTCAAGCAAACTGGTTAAGTTTTCATTAAGTTTTTCCCATATTAAAAATAGCCAGACAAGCTTTTCACGTCGTAAACAAACAAATATTAATTGACACCAATCTGGGACAGTCTGAGTCAAATTTGATCAGGTGGTATATAATTAGAAAAAATCAGTAAACCAAGAATACACGCTGGCGGGCATTACAAATATGATTGGTAGGCGACTATTTCGTAGCAAAATTTCATGAACTTATCATTCGTATCACAAGCTGATTAAGCCACAATGGGCGGGTATAGCTTTGAAAATCCAATCCTTCCATTGTAAATAAAAATGGCTGAGGTAGCATCACTTAGAGACAAATAATTTGAAAACATTTGGTTAATATAGTATTATGAAACTTTAACCGTATTCTATTTAAGGTTAGTAATATCAAACGAGAACAAAGAACTTTGTTTGGATACAGAGTTTTTTGACAGACCAACAACTTTCACAACTTTCAACTTTGACAGACCAACAGTCCACATGTACATATCAGATTTGAGGAAGTGAATACATATGTACATATGATAATACGATCGAGATAGACAACAAATAATTTGCACATTGAACAGCGTTTCAAATGCTTTTACAACCGTAATTATGCATTTCTTCACATAAATGGAAGAGGCTATTCGAATTTTCAATGTGCACTATATATGTATGTATATGTAGATCTTTTTAAACACAAGTACATCGCAATCAGAAAATTTTGACTATACAATTCGCAAAAGGCTATTATGACCTCATGTGCGCTCGTATGTATTGTGTGTATGAGTAAACAAAACAATGCGAAGCGGTTGAAAGGCAAATCAAGAGAGTACGTTCAAAACAAAAAATGTAATGATAAACAATACAAAAGCGTGTTGTAAGTAAAAAGGCCGTAACAGAAAACAGCTGATTGAAGACAATGAACAATTATGCAGTCAAAGACTTTTTGCTTCATACATAATCGCAAAAACATATACATACATACTTATATGTAAGCACGTATGTATGTATAAAGATAAATATACTTTGAAGTGCATTTATATTTATATATACGCACTTTCATAGGTAAGAAATCAATTTGTTCGCTTTTGAACGATAGCACTCTACATTTTATATTGTTTATTAGTATTCTTTTTCTTTTTAGTATTTTGCAATTTAAAATGATTGCATTAGATTTGAAATTATTGTGCGCACCATGACGCTCATTGGCAAATACTCGTAAATATATGCACATGCAATATATAAATATGCATTAATTTATATGTACACACACACACACACATAGAGTTAAATATGTACTGCATATAATTTTGCAATACATTCTATTTATAAAATAAGTTGTCGCTGTTTATTGAATAATAAAGCACACGTCTGCTACCGTTCAGCGCATAACTGCATGTACATTTGTATATGTATGTATGTATTTGCCCATGTAATTGACATTTAAATATTTTTCAAGGTTTACGCCAAATGGACGACAATCATTAGATCTTGACGCATCTGAACTAGAGCACTCCTACATACATATGTATGTACATGCTTACTAATATGTATGAATATGTATGCACCTAGGGGAAAAATGACTAATACGCACACCCTGGAATATTGTAGGAGTGATTTCTATACCTAAATAAAATAAAATACATATAACTGACTATAAAGGTATTACCGTAAATTATGTATGTAGATATGAAATTTCTAACCGGGCACCCACTGTCGCAGTGTTTTTGTCAGGTTAAGGCAGCGTCGCAAAAACGTGTCTTAATAATGTTGACTTAGGAGCAGAAGCTGCAACTCAATTTCAATTGAACTAATAAAGGCAAGCCAATGTCAAGCAGGAGTGAATCACTGTTATCCCATCAGATCTGCTAAGCCATCGCGAACTAGGTGGCACCAGCTCAAAACAATTTGTTTGCTGTGATCATTTTACGTATTGTTCTTTAAAAAAACTGCCTCAAAACAAAAAAAGTTGCAAGAATTTAAAAAAGCGTGATAAATTTTATGAAATCCTGTTCGTTTATCAGAGAATATTACCAAAATAGTGTCCGTGTCCGGTCTTTAGAAAGCACTCATATCCGGTTATAGGAATTGCTTTTGTTTGAAAATAATAATAAAAACGTTGTGTTCATAAAGTTTGTTCAGCTTTGGATGATGACCGGCTATGACGATGGTCCGTAATGGGGAATTTCACTCTATATGGTATAGTGGTCTGATCTAAACATTTTATTCATTTTATGGTAGATATGTTTGTATATGTTGCAGTGGTCAGATATTGAAGGATATCCGAAAATTGAACTGATGGTGGAGAAAATAATGTTTGCAAACTTTCATATATAGAAAGACGGACAAAGCTAAATGTTATTTCATATGAACAATTTCTAGGGAGATTGTATTATTGCCTTAGATAATAATCCATGACAAATTTCGTGAAGATATCTCGTCAAACGAAAAGGTTTTCCTTACAAGGACTTGATTACTATCGTTAATTTTTTATGCCAACTACGTTTGTATAAGCTATAATGGTACGATATCGGCGATTCCAACAAATAAAGCAGCTTTTTGGGCAGAAAAGAAGTGTAAATTTCATAGCGATGTCATGAATAAAACTTAATACTAGTCTCGTATTTCTCGTCAGGCAGACAGGAGGATATGGCTCAATCGACTCAGCTCGCCACGTTGATCATTTAGATACGTATATGTATGTATGTATGTACATATAATTTTTATAGGGTCTCCGACGTTTCTTTTTGGATATTACAAACATATACCCTACTCAGGGTAAAAAAATTAATTTAATTTTATTACATTACCAAATGAAGATAAAAAGTGTTAACTAATTTAGAAAATGTAAGCATTTATTGTAGAAAAAAGTTATTAAATTTTATTTATAAAAAATTAGTTAATTTTATTTGACATAATAACTAATGAAAAAACTTCTAACTAATGTTAAACTTCGTGTAGTAAGTGCCTTAAGCCCACAACTTTGTTGCGAAGTTGGAGTACTTTTTCCTGTGATGAATTTTATATTAAATTTATATTGTAATTCTTAAAAAGTTATTTGAATTTAATTCTATATACATATGTATGTATGTATGTATTTAGTAGTTTAATTTTGAATTAGCAGTGTTTAATTTTTTGTTTAATTAAAATCATTATAACATGCTTAATACCACCTAATGGTGTTTCTGTTTGTTGAACTTATTTATAGATTTGCACTACAATTCGAGATGCTAATAGACCGTAAAGCGAGCGACTCAAGGGAGCAAACACACATACAATACACATAACGAATACATGCTGTTACGCATATACACATTGTTTATGTATATATGTAAGAGACATACTAAATAAATATGAGTCGGTATATGAGAATTATACATAAATTTATTTAGACACACACCTATGTGTACATTCCTATGTATCAATATGCTCCATGCCAAAGCATAAGACAAGAAAAGGTGGAAGGAGGCTGGTACAGTATCGCGCTTTGTATGAAGAGCTATGTATGTGGGCATGCGGACTTTGAACTTAACCCGGTAAATAACAAAACTGATAGAGTCCTAAGTAAGTAAACAAGTAATTAAAACAACATTTCATTAAGGAACAAATAAGCAAAAATATTGCAGTCGTATCTGTAAGGTACTTAAACAAGTACAAATATTTATTTGTATGCATATAATTGTTTATTTTATTTATTAATAATGTATAATGTATACATACATATAAGCATATGTAAGTATGCGGTTTGTTACTTACGTATATCGATGCCGATTAGTGTTTATGGAATTGTTATTGACATATTGACAGGTGCATACATACATATTTTCATTTCATTGACTTTAATATGGCAATTTATTATGAACAGTGTTTGAAACAAACAATAGTAATGTTTTTGTGTCAGATAATAACACTTTTACGCATCAACAACGGTACAATTGACATTATTTCAAATTTAAATATTAAGAAAAACAGCAGCTCACTTTCTCACTTCGCAAAACTGACGGAGTTATGAGTATTTATATAAATCTTATGAACGTTTTACACAATGTTTCAAAACTTTAAAGGGTTTTTTCCAAATTTGGCGTTTTCAAAGTCGGTGGTAACTTTAAAACGTCTAAATATTGTTTTGATATTTTTAACACTCTTTCTATATATATATAATTTACGAATTAACTTTGGAGCGTTTGTTTTACAATAACACATACAAAAATTGGCATTTCAACCTCGGAATTAGCTGGTCAAATCGTTTATCTTATGATGTAATTTTAATTTTAGTGATCCATCACCGATTTATGAGGGGCATCTTAAATGTCGTACTTAAATACACAATTGGTTTTTAAAAATAATTTTTTACTGTTTCAACAAAAAAATATCATAAAAATCGGTCTTTTATAGTGTAAACATATGCATATACAGCTGTGTACATACATACATATGTACACTCACATACAAGTATGTATATCCATATGATAAGTACAAATGTGAAGTTTTTCCAAATAATATGAATGCTTGTATATATATACATATACATACATATAGTACATATGTATCTCGTTATTTATCTGTTATCACAACTAATTGAAATGATTAAAAATATACTTGTTTAGAATACTAACGTAGAATCTTTGTTTTATCGCTATTTTTAATTATCACAATTCTTTAACTTTTGTATTCATAATTTTCGTCTTAATTAAAAAACAAAACTTGACACTTTGGTTGATGTACATATGTACGTATGCAAATATGTATGAGTATGGGTATGTTCTCTATGTTTTTTCCCCCAAGCTAATTATATAATAAGAATGTCATTTTCGGAAAACTGCAATACGGTTGGGTACAATTTTTAAGCATTATTTCAATTGTAAAATATACAGCAATCAACACTTACCACTCTTCATCCAAATGTGTTGCAGTCTTTTGTTAGATTTTAGAGGAACTTGGGCGATGGTTTCTGTGCGTGGTGGGGGTTTGAGCAGAGCACGCTGGCTCCTAGTATTCCGTGGCTGCTGCCAAAATTCTCAGATCCAACTGCGTTTAACACTACACACATCGATTTGTTACTTACTTCCACTTTAGCCTACTATAAGTAAGTTTAAAACATATGAAATTTTTTATTTGAAATTGATTTAACTCTTGTTATCTATAACACTTATTATTTTAACGAAAACTACGCACTGTGTTGAATTAAGGTGTATATTTCTAAATAAGTTTGAATAATTCTTATCGCCTTCTAGATTTTTCACTTCACGTCTTAGCAGATGATATTTGTAAATTTGCTTAGTTATGCTTAATTTGTCGTTTTTTAGCGATTTACTACAATAGAAAAATTGTATATTCATGCACAACACTTAGCGCCACTGAACTAAAATTATTAGCGACGTACAATTCACTTTTAATAAAAAAAATTACGAAACTCCTGAACAATTCCTATGTTCTGACATTTCACATTTGTTTTTGTTTTGTCTCCAACATTTTGCCTATTTTGCTTTCTGAATTTTATCAGTAAGTTTGCCTTGTGCAGTCTTCTATTTACAGAGCACCATCTGTTTTTTTCTAACATATGCCTAATTTCATTCATAGCATTTGTGCGAGTGAGAAAGCAGTTATGGCTACGAATTATTACACGCGGAACACATGGAGCGCCACAGACTGCAGGCGACGTCTGTAAAATATTAAAATACACACGTTCTTATAGTCACAGCTATGTAGTTGTGCAGCTGCCTCAATAACTATGTCCTTAAGAACGTGTGTATTTTGAAATTTGACAGATGCCGCTTGCAGTCTGTCGCGCTCTATGTGTTCTGGGTGTTATGTTCATGTAGCAACTCTCAAAATGGTTGTTCGCAGGTAATGTTCGTTGTGTATGTTGGACGTTCGAGTCGATCACCAACCAGGACAAAAATTTAGCAACAACTTTTCAGGTCGTATAAAAAACAAGAGTGGCGTGTAAAAACTACTGCATATGTTGTAAACAAAAACTGAAAACATCTAATTCGTTCTTTTATATTTAAAAGTGTGCAGTTGAACTTATTACTTACCTTAATTAGGAATATAAAATCACTGAGTGAAAAGTGTGTCAAAAAGGAAAGAGCAATAATACGAAAAAGGTAACCTGGTGCTAAAGTGACTATTAAAAAGGGAGACTTTCATTGCAGTTTTGAAATCTTTAGTAATAATAACCTGTAGTGAAATTTGGTCTTAGGATATTAATATAATATTAAATATTCGGGGGCAAGATCGCATATTTGTTGGGATCCGTTTCTAACTCCCTGATTTATACGGCGCGCAAACAGAGAGCAACATCCGAACGCGAGCGTGTTCGCTCGACCTGCTCGAGGGTAAGGAGCATTTCCGCAGACACCAACAAATAAATACAACCAATCCTTAAGAGGCTGTTAGGTGGTTTATATTATTATTTTTATACCCTGAACAGGATATTTTAAGGTTGTTATTAGAACGAAATGTCTTTGTGTTTTATCAATTACATTCCGAGCCTTAAATCAGTCGTTCAATGATATTAAGGTATTCTGTCCTGGTCGGTATTTGAATCTGTTTCCATCTGTTGTTGTTGCTGTTGTTATCTCACATATAATGGTTCCTAAATTGGGGTATTTTTCTAGTTTCTTTCCTCAGGAAACAGTTGACAAATCTGTCTGCTAAATTATTCATAATTTACTATAAACATTTAACAATTACCCTTTGCACTTAACTATTCAGTAAGAAAACTTTTTTATATTTAAAATTGTTATAAACTTTCAGAGCATACTAATCGTTTACGATGTCGGCTGCTTTGAGTCCCTTACATTGTGATCTAAGGTCATATTCAAGGCTTTGGCTCGGCGAGTTCATTGAACTTTATCAACAGGAAGAATGTTTATGGCACCCAAAACATCCAGATTATAGCAATCATAGGTAAATAAAAATGTATAACTGTTTATATAAGCAACTTATGTAATTATTTAAATAATATCTGCAGTGTACGTAATAAGGCCTATGATCGTTTGGTAGAAAAACTTAAGGAAGTTGAACCGAATCCAGATCGTGCGATGGTTGTGCGCAAAATCAACTCATTGCGTTCTGCATTCAGACGGGAATTTCGTAAATCAAGTTCAAAAAACAACTATGAAACTAGATTGTGGTACTATGACAAATTGCTGTTCATCGCCGAACAAAATCCCAAACGTCTTGCAGCTTTGCGTGATGCCAAAACACCTAAACGACCGTTAGCAATCAGTTTCGATGTGGACGATTCTATGGAGTTTGAAGAGGAACCTGTTGTAGAAGCTGCTACAGTATCACCATCAGAGAATATCAATCATAATAATCAAGCCACTGAAATTAAAACTGTAACTGTAACAGCGGGTGAATGTGTCATTGTGAAAGATGAAGATCAGCACCAACAGCAGCATCAAAATCAAATTCAACATCAGCTGCAGCATCAACACCAACACGAATTACAGCAACAACAACATAGCGCCGAACAACACATGCAACATGCAACAACCACAACGCAACCGCAGCACGCAACTGAAGTCAAAGTTTTGGAAATAACATCTCTCGACACAAATTCGCAGCGAGAAATACAACAGGTATACATTTTTATTAATACATTATGGAATCTTTATTAAACACTTTTTCATATTATTTAGGCTGTCAATTCGCTGGAACAACATCAGCAACATATTCAACAGCAATTGCATCAACAGCAACATCAACAACAACAGAATCAGGGTGGTTCAGCGCAAATCGCACAAATTCATCAGCAAGTTCCAACCATACAAATTGCACGTGAGCACCTGCAACCGTTGTTCGGTAACTCGTATGCAACGACTACAACTCACCGACAGGAGGATGAATACGACGCTATCGGTATAAATGTGGCATCCAAGTTGCGAGTAATGAATCCAACTCAACGAATTATTGCCGAGAAATTAATTAGTGACGTGCTATTCAATGGGCAATTAGATAGTCTCAGCGTCTCTTCAACTTTGACTCAGTGAAAATACATATGTCTTTGTAACACAGCAAATTTTGTGCAGGTAATAATTTACAATCTAAGTTATTAGGATTTATATAAGTAAGCAAATAGTTATATAAGTTCTAATTGTATGATATAAATACTAAAATTTAAGAAGTTTTTCTAAAATTGTGCTACGGTATATAAAACATTTTATATACAACATTAAATATTATGTTTAGCTTGGAAAATATACATATTTAGCCGGTACATTTGGTACCATCCTTCTTATTCTGTTTATAGTTTGTTTAACATTATAATACGACCATTTAAATAAAATAAACCTTATCTTAAACTGAATGTAGGGATTTGTATAGCTACATACATAAAAACTGTTTATACTATTCAATTGTGTAAATACATGTGAGTAATCTCATCTCAATTTGGCAGAAAGAACTCGCTGAATATTATTAAAAAATAAAGTATATTTTACTGTATATTGATATTGACAGCAAATTTTTATTTCGCACGTCACACTTGATTATGTAACTCATTAAACATTACAAACATAAATAGTAAAGGCGAATACGTGTTTATACATATTTCAAATAGCAAAAACGTGATATTTACAAAATTCAATACCGTATTACGAATGCTAATTTTATTTAACTGCTGCCGTTGTAGCAGCAGGAGTTGTGGCTTCAACATTTTGCTCACCTCCAGTAAAACCTTGCACCCGCTTCCAGCAATATTTTGCAAACTGCAAAATAAATTAAATATAAAATGTTCCTAAGTTTTGTATTTAGCTTTTCTGCTTACCGTTACAACAGGCAGATCGATCTCTTCTTCGGCGGTAACTAATGTGCGATTCTTTTGCATTACACTCCATGCGTAATGCATACCAATAAGTGAGGGAATCATCACAATCGTTACCAAATTGCGTTGTACAAATGTTTGATTCTTTTTCATCATATTTGTATATTTATTGTGTTTTTATATTTTACAAATTTTTAAACTTTAGATAGTAACACCGCTCTATCAATGAAACAATTTTTACGAATTATTGCGAACAGCTGTTTTGTGAATGTAAAATCAAAACAAATGAAATGGACAACAGCTGTGTTTATTGTGTCGAGTGGTGACAGAGTTACCGCGTCCAAGTAGATTATTAAAAATCGAGTTGAGAACGGAAACACCATACAAATATGTTATTTATTAAACGTTATTTTTAAAAGACTTTGTTATTCTTCCTATAAAAAATGAGCTAAGAAAATAACTACTACTCAACACTAGTTACTTAATGTACGAAAATATACGAATTTTAAGAACACGGTATTTATTATATAAACTACTTGTGTATGTTTAACTAAATCTGAAAATGCAACCGAGCAACCGCTTGTATTCAAAGGAAACCGTTTTGACAGCTCTTTCTATCCAAGTTGCTTGACATTCAAGTTATGTTAAGGTTAGTGATAAATACAGCTCTTTTATAAAAAATAAGCTTTGAGTATTTGTTTTTGATGGATCAGTTTGTATGGCATCTACATATGTGCTGTAGTGTTCCAAAAGCGCCGATACCAACAAATGAATATATTCTTGGCCTGTATTGATATCTCAAAAGTGGTTGACTCCTCACACAGATCATTTACATATAGACTTTATAGCGTTTCCGCTACCAGTTTACCCAGTTTAGGGTATAAAAATTGGTCTACGCTAAAAGTATACTAGCAAATGCATCGTTTTTTTTTATTGATTTCATTAAACAATTATTTATATTTTACATCTGATTTCTATCCAATCTATCATGATTTATTAATTGTGGACTAAGTGGCTTGCTGAGAATTATATATATTTGCGTCAGCACACATAAAGAACTTTCTTCCGTCTTTAATGACTCACACAAGTATTTAACCTAACAGCATCTTTTCGCGTCGAGCTAACATATCCAATATATATTGATGTATTTGTGCAAACCTAAATTCATACAGATAATTAGATGATTAAGAGTCCATAAAATAAGTACTACTCAATTAATTTTAACTCACCGATTATCTGTCGCACCACGAAAGAATCCTTTTGCTATCTTTGACATGGCATGATTGTGAAAAATGAAAACGTGCGTCAAATACGCGAGATTATATGGTACCAACAATTTAGCGAACGGGACACTTTTTAGAATTGTTGCTATTCTATTTTCAGGCTTCTCCACTGGCTGAGAGCAGTATGATTGCCAAAATGCTTGCACAGCTATCACAAAGGCCAAAACACTAAACGCCAGTTTGTTGAGGAAGAAATATGACAGACCACCCAAAGCGGCGGCAAGCAAATGTTCTCGTGTGCCATAAACTGTATAGCGAGTTAAGAGACAGCTTGACATCTGCAAAAGCAACACATTTGTAAATCATTTCAATAAGTAACGAAAGAAACTACTAATATTACTCTGTATATTCCCACATAGGAGAGAAAAAATGCAGTCATTTCGAAGCGTATCATCTTCAAGTCTCTCAAACGTCTTGGCATTCTCCCCTTAGTTACAGTGCTTAGTAAATCTAATGGTATGCCGTACATCAAATAACTACTCATTTCCCTCGATATATATTGGGTACACGATGTGCCCTCATGCAAACATTTTCCCGAATTTTGAAGATCTTCCAAGTTCTCTACACCTTTTTGTTGTGATTCATCTGTGTTTGATGGCTGTATAAACCAGAATCCATTGAATTCCTTACGGCGCTTAAAATGTAATACAACGGCGCTGGAGAGCATGAAGACTATTGTCTGAATGGGTAAGGATTTTGTTATGAAGTGGTTTTGTTTGCGCAGCCAGGTTTCTAAAGCCTGTAAAAAGTTGATTCGGAGATTGTTTAATACAGATGATACAAACAATGCGTTCTTCAGTTATATAAACCAAATATTGATGTGAAATTATGGATTTGGAAAATCCGGATTTTTTTGTTAAAATCGATTCCATCAATTATTATGATGTTGTTCGGATATCTTCACAATGTCTTCGAAATGGCAGCTTTAGAATCGGCTATCGTCGGAATATCGTTAACATCGGTGGTGGTACATGAATTAAGATGATCTTCAGAATTTTCTCTATACTCTTTATAAGCTTAGTCTCCTCACTCTCTGCAATTTGTTTAAAACCACTGGGGCTCGGAAATGGTACATCGGTGGATTGTGAGCTCGCACACAATGCACATTGTAAAATGTATACAATAACGATATGTTTACCAGGCTTTGAACCAGGTTTTGAACCTCCTCGTCTACATACGGCTTTACAAACCAATTGTACGACAAATGTGCAAAGTATAGGTATTGTCTGATGTTCCAACTTCTTTAACACTCTATGATGGCGATAACCTTCTAATTTGACACCAATTTCTGTTCGGTGAACACCAAAAACCAAAAAGCATGGGTCCAGATAAGAAGAATACATTAACAGGCTTTCAGTTCGTACTGAACTTTTTACAAACTTCGGCTGTCTTCACATTTCATACTTTTCTTTATATTCCATAGCGAGCCATCTGATACGATATTTGTCGATGGAAAGATGTCAAGTTCAATCGCTTGTTTGCAGCATCTTTTTCTCGATCAAACCAAGTGCTTGCCCTTCGGGTCTTCGCCTAAAAATTAAAAGCGCTTTGTCTTGCAAATATCTTACCGCTTGTGCTGTTGCTGTGCCGAAGAGGCGGACGGTACGTATGGGGTAGAACCAACATAACTGGAACGCTGTGTACGTTGGCAAAAATGTTGCCGTCAATAAGTAGTATCTTCCAAACAGGCGCCTTTAATTCCAACAATATTTGACCAATTGAAACTATTTTATGATTTCGAAAATCAGAAATTTCAAATATAATCACCTGTAAAGGCATATGCAGTAGATAGTCAAAGCAGAGCTGGTCGCACCCCATAGCGAAGTTTCCAAATAGTGACGTAGTATATTTAAGAGCGTTTGACGGTTCAAGCTACGCGGTCTGAGCACTAGCGGTGACTGCAAATACGTAATCGATTAGATAACAACACTTTCAGACCACAGACAATACACGACAATGATGTGCACTTACAATGGCTAACGGCAGGAAATATTTTAAGCAGCCCACAGAGCAACGATACCAATTCCATCTGAATATTTGTTTACATGTTAGGCCATCATGCCTTAATAGCTCCGAGCAGCTTACAGAATTGTAAGGTGGTTGATAGAGTTTGCTAATCTCAACCATTTTTTATACGCCTATTTATTATATATGTAGTTTAGCACATATATCGGGCAGAGTGCATTGACAAATTTGAACAACCGACCGTTGCGTTCGGAAAGGAACTGATTGATTTGTTCCCGGCTTGTGTTATTGCAAGTGTCGCACATATTTGAGTTAGCTGCAAGCCGAAGGTCGCTAATACGCGTTTATACACACATAACTATGTAAATATGTACATAACTGATCCAACGTAATACATTAGCTCAAATTGCAAGCAATAACGATGCCGATGTTACCCTATGAAACATATGTTGGCTCAGATTCAAGTGTAGTGTTATGTCGCTCAACAATAAACAAATTGCAAAAATAAACATTTTCTTCATTTGTCGAAATGCCTGACAAGGTGTCAAATGAATTAATTAAAATTAGTTTTTTAATAAGATATATTTCGCTATAATTAGCCTATACTTTGGCTGGTCTGCTCGTTAGACATGCTTCGTTGAGCTTCGTTGAGCTTCTTCAACTCATATTTGAAGTGGGTGTCGTAAAGTTGTCTGACAAATGGCGAATCCTAGCGGCTGTTTGATTATTATAGCCTAAACAAGATATACAAGTACATACATACACATGTATGTATTCAGTTTGTCACGAAATTTGTAACACCCAGATGAAAAATAAAGGATATAGTGCTTGAAAATCGTCAGACAAGTGTTAGAGAGATGACAAAGAGTTCGAAATCTCTCGCGAGTTCCTTTGAATGATTTTAATTTATAATTTGGGTATGAAACGCGTTTTTGCTATATGTAAAGCTGTATATTTTTCAAAAAGTGTACCGGAAACAGGTCTCTTTGCACAAGCTCGATCGTGCGAATTCCGATACCACCTTCATGGAGAGTATTATAACTGCCGATGAGACATGAATTTATGAGTTTGACATGCAAACAAGTCAACAATCATCGGAATGGAGGGAAAAAATGCCAAAGCCGCTCAAAGATCAAGGTGATGCTCATTGTTTTTATCGATATTCTTGGTTTGGTGCTTCATGAATTTGTTCCCCAGGGACAGACGGTCAATAAGGAGTTCTATTTGGTCATACTGAGATGTTGCGTGAGAACATCCGTCTATCACAGCCGTAGTTATGGAAGAACAATTTAAAGCCAAAAATGCAATAAATAGCATTGTTTAACCACCGTATTCTCCAGATTTCGCTCCGTGTGATTTTTTTTGTTCCCCAAACCGAAATTGCCGCTCCGTGGAATCTGCTTTCAGTCGATCGCAGAGATGAAACACGCTGCAGGATATTATGGTCATCCCAAAAAGTGCCTATGAAGTGGGGGTTACTAAGAAAGTGACTACAATTTCAAGGTACTTTTATGTATACTTTCTCTTATGCTGTATTTTTATGCTATAAGAAATATATTTGTTAAGGGTAAAACTATTATAGCTTCGATGCAGTCGAAGTTCACTATTTTACAAACTTTTTAGTGTCAAAAATAAGCTCTGAAGTCTTGATATTGTTCGTAAATATTAAGTTTAGAACCCACCGAGAGCGAGCTATTTGTTCTCATAGTCTCAAGTTCCCTTTTTTCAAGAATGCATTACATTTAAAAAAATTTTCAATGAATTCATATAAAATTATCAGTTTGCGACAAACTGTTTCAAAAGTGAGCCAGACCTTAGCATACCAAGTTCTAACTCGTATAATTTTTCTCTTATTAGTGCGGTGCAGACATGGCAAAACACAATAAATTATGCTTGTCAATTTGTAAACAAATAACATTAAGCAGTGCGTGTTTCTTGTTTAATTAAAGATTTATTCAACAGAGAAATCCCATTAAATTCTGGTGCTTTTGATTGGTACAAATTATTTAAAGAGAGGCGGGAATGCTTTGACGACGAACCACATCCAAGACAGATATCAACTGATAATCCGCACGTGAATAAAATAAAGGAATTGGTGCTTGAGGATCCACGATTAGCAGACAGAGATTTACAAGCATCTTTGAAATATCGGAAAAATCAGCGAAAAATATTTTGAAAAATCATTTGGGTCTATTAAAAGTGAAAGCACGATGGGTTTCAAAATCACTAAATCTTTTTTGAAAACAGCTTGACGTTAACGTCTATAAAATAATGCTTTCCGAATATCGGGATGTCACGAGACGTATTATTACGAGCGCAGAGTCTTCGATCTATGCTTGCGATCCGGAAATAGAGGCAAAGATGAGCAGAAGTTGACGAAATCGCGTCAAAGCAGGTCAAAAATCCTGGTTATGCTTACAGTTTCCTGCGATTATCGACGTGTGGTGCACTCCGTGTGCTGAATATTTGCGAATATTGGAAAAGGCTTGTGGCTATCTAAGACAGAAGGTTGCGAGTGGTACAAAGACTTCTCATTCTGGACGACCTTCGAACTCTTCAACTGAGGAAAATATTGAGAAAGTGAAAGATATTTTGTTTGCAAATTATCAGGCAAGTCTTAGAGAGCTGGCAAGAGAGCCCGATATCTCTCGCGACTGCGTGCGAATGATTATGGTGGATATTTTGGGTATGAAACGCTTTCTTGCTCGGCTCGTTGCGATAAAGCTGAATTTTTTCGCATCGAGCCTCGATTGTGACCTAATTTAAAGATAAAAACGCAATGAATACCATCGATCAAGCACCGTATTCACTAGATATGGCTCCATGTCAATTTTTCTTGTTTCCCAAACTGAAATTCTCGCTCCGTGGAATACATAAGAAAAACAGCTTATGAAAAGTGGAAAATGGTAGCTTCAGTGACCAACTAATCAAAGTAAGTCTTGCGGATTTTTAAACAGTTTTGAAACACATGAATGTATTCCATATGTAAGTAAAGACAAAAAAAACGTTTGTGACCTTCCACTAAGAAGTATGTCTGGTGATATAATTTCGTAAAAATATTATAGCTCAAAGCAGGGTAGGCTGATAATAAATCATACCATAAGTCCAGTCTACTCCACATTAAAGTGGCAATTCAAATTTATTTGACTTTTTTCCGCTATAAGTGACAGCGTTGGAATAATAATTCTCCAACCTAACATATCAATCACGGGGCCATATTAAGGTATTATGTAATGAAGCGACACGTTTTCGCATAACATTATTATAAAGCATAAAGCACACGCGAATACCAAGCACTCATTTTTTATTGAATACGAAATACTCAAAGTTAAATTGCAATATGTTAATAAGCCATGTCTTGACACTTGCATTTGTGTAAATTATTCCTCTAAGAACATTATTTAAATAGCGTTTCATCGTGTTAACACTTTATTTGTAAATCTCTAGTGATTAACTAATGTGTTACTTGCTTATTAGAGGTCATCAGACCCTAAATTATTTATTATTGAAACATACAAACAGGGTATAATAAGTTTGTCACGAAGTTTGTAACACCCAGAAGGAGACCCTGTAAAGTACATATATAAATGATCAGTTTGTTGAGCTGAGTCGATTTAGCCATGTCCGTCTGTATATATACGATCTAGTCCCTCAGTTCTTAAGATGTCGTTTTGAAATTTTGTAAACGTCATTTTCTCTTCAAGAAGCTGCTCATTTGTCGGAACTACCGATATTGGACCACTATAACATATGGTTGCCATACAAACTGAACGATCGGAATTAAGTTCTTGTATGGAAAACTTTCACATTTGACGATGTATCTTCACAAAAGTTGGCACAGATTATTTTCTAAGGCAACAATGTAATCTGCGAAGAAATTGTTCAGATCGGCTCACTATAGCATATAGCTGCCATACAAACCGAATGATCGAAATGAAGTTCTTGTATGAAAAACTTCCACATTTTACGTGGTATCGTCACGAAATTTGACATGGATTACTGCTTAAGGTAATAACATAATCTCCGAAAACATTATTCAGATCGGATTACTATAACATACAGCTACCATACAAACTGGGCACATAGTTACTAAAAGAAATGTACCTGTGAAGGATATATTAGCTTCGGTGCAGTCGAAGTTAACGTTTTTTCTTGTTTTTGTTTAGATATTATTTTTTTCATTTAAAATTTTTTTTGTTTACTTATATATTTTATTAGCTTTTATTAAGTAGCGAAATAAATTGATAAATACAAAAAATTTACTTTTACTATAAATGTGTAAGGAAGAGCTAACGTCGGGTGCAACCGAAATTTCATACTCCTGCAACTTGTAAGAATAAAGGCCAGGGAAATGCTTTAAGGTGTAAAACGTCACCAGAGATTGAAATTTAATTCGAATTTTCTATTAACTTGGTACAAAAAAGTCACCGGAAACTGTAAATAAAACGCAAAATATTTAATTATTCATCATTATTAATTTTGTCGCCTTGAAAGTAGTCCACACTAGATATAATACACTTATGCTAACGATTTTTATAATTCTCGAAACACTTTTCATAAGGACTTTTTGGGATGACCTTCGGCTCCTTTAGCGAATTTTGGTTTATCTCTTCGTTCGATTGAAAACGGGTTCCACGGGCGGCAATTTCAGTTTAGAGAACAAGAAAAAATCACACGGAACCAAATCTGGTGGGTATGGTGCTTGATCGATTATATTCACTGCGTTTTTGTCTTTAAATTCGGTCATAATCGTGGCTCGATGCGAGATGCGATGTGCATTATTACCGTGTAAAATCCATGAATTTTCCTTCCATTTTGACGGATGTTCTTAAACAAACGCCTCAATACGGCCAAATAGAACTCCTTATTGACCGTCTGTCCCTCTGGAACAAATTCTTGATGCACCAAACCACGAGGATCGCCTTGATTTTGGAGCCTTTTGCAACATGTGCAACGATTCCGCAAACGAATACAAAATTTGAGTTAAATTCTTTGTTCCATATTTCTATCCCTTTTAAAAATCGCAACGCACTACTGAGATATACCGAAATAAGCAGCTGCTGAAAATAAACTGGTTGACGGAACGCGCTCATATTTGGCATATTAAGGTCCTATTAAGAAATAAAAATATTTTTTTTTAAATATCATTTATACGCGGAATTTAATTACAATTTCCGGGTTCTTTTTTTGTCAAAATGTAAATGCCTTAGAAAGAACATATGATAGTATATTTTATAAGATTCAACCCAAAAATCTCAATAACA